TCAGATATTTGATGGTGCAAATTACGAAAAATGGAAATTTAGATTAAAATTGTTGTTACAAATGAAGGAATGCCAGGAAGCTGTGGAAAATGATATAAAACAGGAAGGTATGACAGACACGGAATGGAGAAAAAATGATTTAAAGGCAAGAAATATTATAGTGAAAAGCGTAAATAATACTCAGCTGAGCTGAGCTTGAGGAGCTCGATGGCGCAAGTGGTTAGCGCGTTCGGCTGCGATCGTTGAATTTAAGCAACTTTCGCAGTGGTCGGTCATTGGATGGGTGACCAAAAATTACTATCTCGAGCTCCTCCGTGCTTCGGAAGGCACGTTAAGCCGTTGGTCCCGGCTGCATCTGCAGTCGTTAGCACCCACCAATCCGCACTGGGCCCGCGTGGTGGGTCATGGCCCAATCTCTCTATTCCATCCATAGGGAAGGCCTGTGCCCCAGCAGTGGGGACATTAATAGGCTGATGATGATGATGATGAATACTCAGCTCGATATAATAATGAATGAAAGTACGGCTTACAGGATCATTAAAAAATTTGACGAGATGTATTTTGTAAAAGGCAGTGCTAATAAACTATTGATTAAAAGGAAAGTGCTACAAACAAAATTCAAAGATGGCGACGATATAGTAGAATTCATACAAACATTTGAAAAACAAATCAATGAATTGAAAAATGCAGGAGAAGTCGTTTCGGAAGAGGATAGACTGAACTATTTATTGCTTGCATTACCTGAGAGTTTTGCACATATTGTAAATATTGTTGATGCGATGCCGACAAAGAATCGGACAGTGGAGTACGTGAAGTCCAATTTACTACTTGAAATGAAAACAAAACAGAGCGAACAAGGAGGTCATACGTTCAGTTCTCGATCAAATCAACACCAAGAATGGAGAGAGCGAGATGTCTGCTTACAGAAGCAAAGATAAATAAGAAATATTTTCCTGAATGCGTAATGACTGCAGCATATCTAGGTAATAGAATATTAACAAATACGTATGAGAAAAAAACACCCTACGAAATTTTTATGGGGAGGAAGCCAACTGTAAGTAATTTAAAAATTTTCGGTTCACAGTGCTATGTACACACACACGTAAGAAGTGAAACTTCTTTATGGCCTTATTTTTCGAAAAATGATCTACATGCAACTTTCTAGAAATTGGTTAAATAAAATAAAGTTAAATTAGATAAAGTTTAAACAAAAGGATTTTATTATCATAGACATGAATACAAATTACTGCCTATGAAACTGTTATGATTACACGGCTCAGTAATCTAAGGCACATGTTCCACCTCCGACGATGAACGATAAGCGAGTAGAAACTAGAAACGAATTGGCAGTCCTGAGTTAAAATGCACGCGCACGGCTTTTGACAGCCAAGCCAGCTTAACCGAGCGAGTATAGCTGAGCGAGTATCGCTGAGCGAGAATCGCTGAGCTAGTATCGCTGGGCGAGTATCGCTGAGCGAGTATCGCTGAGCGAGTATCGCTGAGCGAGTATCGCTAAGCAAGTATCGCTTAGCGAGTAGCGCTGAGCGAGTATCGCTGAGCGAGTACCGCTGAGCGAGTATCGCTGAGCGAGTATCGCTGAGCGAGTACCGCTGAGCGAGTATCGCTATGCGAGTTTGGCTGAGAGAGCCTTATCTTTAATAACTATTGTCACTCAGCTACAAACGAGTAGAGAGAGTTCTCGCCGGCGACAGTGTGATCATTCAGCTATCAACTATTAATATAAAAAAAGATGGCGCGTAACGGAAAAATGTGACGCGTAACCGAAAAATGTGACGGTAAATTTTTTTCCAACGCCGATAAAGAAGTTTCACTTCAAAAAGAAAAAAAAAGTATATAAAAAGTCCGGATGTAAATAAATAGAAAGATGCAATGAAAGAGGAATTGAACAGTTTGGAAAAGAACGAAACGTGGTTTTTAGTTGAGAGACCTGAAAATAAGAAAATAATAGATGTTAAATGGATCTTTAGGATCAAGTCGAATGGGAAGTATAAGGCAAGAGTAGTCGCACGAGGTTTCCAACAGATGTATGAAGAAAACGAGGAAATTTATTCACCAGTAGCGCGAATGACGACAATGAAAGCTTTATTATCAATTGCATGTGTAAGAGGATGGAACATTGAACAAATGGACGTTGAGACAGCATTCTTGAATGGGAGTAATAAGTCTGAAGTTTATATTTACCCACCTGATGGATATTGTACAGAGAATAATAAAGTATGCAAACTACAAAAAGCTCTTTATGGATTGCGAGAAAGCCCACGTGATTGGTATGAATGCTTTCACGAATTCATGTCAAGCATTAATTTCAATAGGTGAGACTATGACTATTGTTTGTATACAGGGTGTGTAAATAATGTAAATATATATCTATGTCTATATGTATATGATATTTTGATTTGTGGGGAGAAAAATGAGGCAATTGACGAAGTTAAAAGGCTATTGAACAATAGATTCCGAATGAAAGATCTGGAAAAAGTAAAACAGTATCTTGGAATAGATGTAGTTTTTGAACCAAAAGAAGGCAGAATGACTTTAAGCCAGGAAAAATACATTGTAAGTTTAGCTGAAAAGTATAACGTAATCGAATCAAAGAACTTTGAGACACCAATGGAAATGAATTTAAGCATTGAACCAAGTCAAGTTGTCAGTGCAACGTTAAAGTATAGAAACTTGATTGTAGCTCTTCTGTATGTTGCCAGTGGAACACGGCCAGACGTAACTTATAGCGTAAACTATTTGAGTCGGTTCCAAAATGCTTATAGTGATACGCATTTCAAATATGCCTTGCAAGTTCTCAAATATCTTTACTGTACGAGACACTTGAAGATGAATTATGACGCTGACTATGAAGAACAATTGGACGCTTATGTAGACGCTGATTGGGCCGCAGATAAATCGGATAGGAAGTCGACGACAGGAATTGTTATAAGAGTTTTTAATAATCCGATCATGTGGAAGTCACATAAACAGAAAATAGTGTCAAGAGCATCAACTCATGCCGAGTATTATGCTTTGGAAGACTGTGTTGAAGAAGTACTTCCGTTAATAGGTGTGTTATGCGATTTAGGCGTTGAGATTAGGGATCCAGTAAAAATTTACGCAAGACAACAGCGGGGCTATTGCGTTGTCAAAGAACGGAAAGTTTTGTAAAAATTCTAAGCATATTGACATAAGCTACCACTTCGTATATGACTACGAGAAAAAGGGTATTATTAATATAGTAAAGGTTCATACAGAAAAACAATTAGCGGATATATTGACCAAGGCATTAGGAAAAAATAAATTTATAAAACTTAGAGAACTGGCAAATGTCAAATGAAATGTTAATGACAGATAGTCTTAGGTTTTTGTTAAGTGCTTTAATTATTATGTTGTTGTTATATTGGTATTAAGTTTTTTTTTTGTTTTCTATAAAAACAAGGAGGTGTGTTGAAGATATGATTTTATGTAAAACCTTCTTGTTAGCGCGACTCGATGGCCTGTTCTCTATGTCACCGTTACTTCATTCTAGGACTTTACCAAATACGTCAACGGTGTATACATAAAAAATGTAACGTGATTGCGACTACATAAACTAAATATTACGAGCTGATTGTCTTTCCTTTCTTCGATCCACTTCCTCAACAGTACCGACAATTTATAATCGAATTTTACAATTAACAAAATTAACACATTACTATTTATGTAATTAACAACGAAAAATACGGGGTGGTGACGATATCGTGTCGTTTTTTTATGCTATGCTTTGGTATACATATTATTCATAAGTATGTTAAAATGTTATTATTAATATTTTTAGGGTTTGCTGCTCGCAATAACACTTGCCTACCATTTACCGCGAACAAGATGCAAAAGTTACTAGAGGAGGCGTGTAACAACATTACAGCCGATGATTGGAAAAATGTAATAAGAAAAACAAAAGAACTGATTATGGCTGATTGGGATAGGGATATCCGCATTGATCCGCTATATAGATCAACAGCTAATTGTTGCTGTTGGATCTTCAGACAGTGATGAAACGACGTCAGAAAGTGATATTGGTTGTAGTGTATTAGAGAAATAAAGTAATCCATCAAATAGATTTTTGTTTGTTTCATTACATTATACAAGTTTTCTAATTTGTTAGTATATTAATATATTTATACAATAAATATATGGTTTATTGGCAAGAACTAATGGCAATCATATAGTACAAAAAATATATATTTTTGTTATTTTAGTTTAATTATTAGAAAAGTATACCTGCTCGAAAAGTAATAAATATCATTTCCCCCTCCTCAGAAAACTGACTTGAATATTCAATGATGTCGATTCTGGCATGATTTTCTTAAGCTAAACCTACATTTGACAACAGTGCATCCTTGTCATTCTCTATACAGAATGAAAAGGAGAGACCGATGTTAAATTTAGTTTTAAAGTTGAGAGAATCACGTCAGAATCGACACCAATATCTATCTATCAATAACTAAAATTTAATATACAGTATAAATCTATATTTTGAATCGATTGTGAAAAGCACTAAGACATAATCAATAATCGATTGGATATGCAGGGTGTCACATGAAGTCACGTCTCTATAACTGTCAACGTGGATGTGTCAGCCATACCAGCGATGTTCGACTTCGAATGATATTAACTTTCGACTAATTCGTTACTACTAATTTGTCTATACGCAAGGCAAATACAGTAGTATACTAAGTTAATTATTCGAATATCGACTACTCATTAGTAATACTAATGTCAAATGTCGCTGCGTGCGACGCGCGCCGCTTGATACATTCGACTCCAGTCGAATGATATAAATCGCAATCGACTCGGTCGAATGATTCGTGGAGTTGGAGTCGAACGATTAGTATTAGTATTATTCGAAGTCGCGCATGGCTAAGCCATACCATCTTATTTATTAAAACAGACATCTAAAGTAGATTTTTGTTTACATTGTGAATTGTAAAGGTTACTTACTATATTCTTTGTTGTAAGCTTTACAACCTATAGAAATTTACCATTTTAATTAATTTTGTGAAACATTATCATATTTCTGTACATAAATAAAAATTATTGGGTGCCTCAAACTTGTCCAACTTGAGTTCATAGAATGCTTTCTATATGGTTGGGAAAATCATTTCCAATAATCTAAGATAAGTCGTACGTAGATAAAATGATTATTTTTTTAAGTGAGCTTCAGAAAGAACATCTTTGTATATTACATCAAAATTCCACACAAGGTATGAGCATTGAACTTTTTACAATACTCAATACAACTGGAATTAAATTTGTAACATCTTATCATTATTTACAGTCCTTGTAGATTTCTGCAAACTTGCTATTGATTTCCTGCATAATGGAATCAACTATAAGAAGCATACCTTAGCAGCAGGTAGGCAATTATTTTTATAACTATTTCCAGAGTGGGTATTTTACTTGTTTACATTATGCATTATAAACTTCTTTTACCCTTTGCAGATAAGCTGGGAATACAGATAAACGATGTACAAAATCTTGTACAGGCCTTAACATATTTATTGGTGGAAGCTTGTCAACATAATGTATGTATCAGATGTTATATGATTATGAAATTTTTCATAACATAGTCTCAACTTAGCCATTTGACTTACAGTTGTCAGAACCAGATTTTAAATCATCATTAGCAATCGCTGGCTTTGAAGCTACACATCAAGATGTGCTGATCAAGCTGTATACTAATAAGAAGACAGATCTCTTCAATGCTCTCTACCTGCTTTCTCAAAAGGCACCTGTTTATCAAGACTTCACTTGGCGCTTTGAGGTTCAGGTATATAAGTAACTGTTCTATTAAATTTGATTATTTATGAACTAAAAAGCTAGATATTATACTGAAAAAAAATGTATGTAAATACATTTAGGCAAATTGTATAACAGACATTTAAAACAAAAGATTAGTCTTGGGTACCTTTATTCATTTTTTTAAATAAGTTAGCAAAATACAATTTTCAAAAACTGTCATAACCAGATATATATAATAATAATAATATTATCCTTTTCACATTTTTTTGTAATTACAGGAATACAGCTAAAATATTTAAATAACATATATAGAAATTGTGGGAGACTGAAACCTAAAACACAGGCAGTTTCCTGCCTGCCTGCATTAAAAAAGAACTTACAAAACTGTATTAATTCATAGACATTATTAAATAAAAAAATATAGTAATTAAGTAAACAAATTTAAGTGTAGAATCTCAAGAATTATTGAAATTAGTGAGAGGAATTTCATTAAAATTTATGATTTATTGGCTTCACCCAAGACATTTTAATTCACAGATTGCCAGTCAAATGTGTGAAGAGGAAATCAAACCGTCAATTGCAATGGATTTTGTATTAATGACGTCTAAGAATTACACAGAAACTAAAGATGCAAGTAAATCTGATCTTACACATAAGACTATTTCACCGAAACACATAAATTTGCTTATAGAAGATGCAAAAGCTGCTAGTCAATGCCAAAATATCATCAATCATGTTTTAGTTCAATGTGACCTACCAAACTTAATTCATATGACAAATAAATTAGAAAAGGCTTTGAATGAATCAAAAAGTCAGCATGTACGTAAAGTACAGAGAGTTTTGTAAAGACATTAGATGGAAGTCCCAATTTAAAATCATTATTGTGCCATATTTGGTGAGTAAATTATACATAACAATGTAAGGGTCAAATAATATTTTCTTACTGCAAAACTTTATTCAAAAAAGTTACTTCATTAAAAACGACTTTAGAAACACCACGTTGGGCGCCATTTTAACACTGCTAAGTGCATAATATAGGGCAAAGCATCGCCGATTGTAGGCTAACGTAAAGGTAAACTTCTTTTTAATGATGATGGTTAATGCAGAACACTTACATATTGAGGAGTTTTCACATAAAAGGTTGAAGCTCGTGTGTGTTCTGCATTCTAGCTGCTGTAACTATGGCTATTTTAGAATTATTGTAGTTGATAGGACAACCAACTATTATTATTATTCACAAATGTGATAATACACTGTCATTATCCTTATGAATTGGTTTTAATTTTATCTTAATTCTTTTATTATAATTTATTATGTGAATAAAGCTATAATTTATTAAGTATATAATAAAGTGCATAAAATTAAATAAGGGTGTTTAAATTTGCATCCAATATTTGTTTTCTTCAGAGTAGATCTTACAAAAGTTGAGATATAAGCTTTTGTGTAAGATTAAAATATGCTGGGATGCAATCATTAAGGAATATATTACTGTAGACGAACGCCCCGAATTTTTTCTAGCTTTTTTTAACCTGCAAGGCAGCGCCATCTCTTCGTATTGTAGGTAATCCACAATGGTCAAAATGAATACCTTTACAAGTATTAAACATTTGAAAGAAGAAATAACAATTATAGTTAGCAATTAGAGTTTTTCTAGTTATATTTTCTTTAGATATTTCATCATCATCATCATCAACCCAAGCTCGTCCACTGCTGGACATAGGTCTCCCCTAATGCACGCCACTGCTCCCGATTTTCTGCCACTCTCATCCAGCCCACTCCAGCCAGCCTACGAATGTCATCATACCATCTTGTCTCAGGGCTTCCTACACTACGTTTACCGAGTCGTGGTCTCCACTCAAGAGCTTTTCGGGCTCCAACGGCCGTCAGTTCTGCGGCTAATGTGACCAGCCCACTGCCAAGTGGCCCATCGAATTAGCAAACTAAAGTCAGTTTGCTAATTCGGGGGGCTATGTCGGTGACTTTGGTTCTCTGTCGGATTACATCATTTCTGATGCGGTTCTTCAGGGATACTTCGAGCATAGCCCTTTTCATAGCTCTCTGAGTGACTTTAAACTGGTGGACTCGTCCAGCCGTGAGTGTCCACATCTTGGCGCCGTATTTAGATATTTTTATTTTATTATTTACATCCGATTAATTTTTAAATCTGATTTGAAAATATAACAATTTTGTAAGGGTGCTATCCACCCTGTCATAAGTAACATCATATTTTTAGAGAAGTGAAACCTACTAAAACCAGCCAAGTCATGTCATTAACGGACATGTCAAGTCCGTTTTTTCCCCTTTAGCGTATTAGATCGTAATACGCTAAGGGGAAATATTTAGCAAATAATAATCCTTATGATTAACCCTTTTGATAGTTATCATAAAATATGTTGTTTTATTTTTCGAAATTTTACGAGTTTGATTTCCAGTTGTAGCATGCAGTTGTTAAAAAATCTGTAAATGCACTTCTAGTTATTATTAAAACTAAAATGATATCTTCTTTCAGTAAAATATCCTATCTTCAATATTTAATATACTTTCCCTCCGTCTGAGGTAGCCGTGGGACGCCCTGTTTTTTTTTTCAGTAACTTTGGTATAAACAATATTACCAGAGGAGTATTAGGCCATTGAAAAATTAATATTGTCTGAGTAGCATAATTTCGAAGATTTTTTTGTTGAAATTCTGGTTTTGTCCTAAAATCCTTTGTTTGTGGACAGACTATTTATTTACTGTAAATAAACCACGCCATAATTAGAAATGCCTAGTTTCGTTTGTAATTTTTTTTTAAGTGGCTACACGACTGTTGCTACCTTGATGGTATATAGGCTACAGCCTTAGGTTATATAGGTAGGTACTTATTTTATACCCTTTAGATAGGTAAGAAATTATTAAATAAAAATTAGGTATAATGTAATTTAATTACTTAACTAATTACAGTTAACACATTAACGTTTTATTTAAACACATAATTGTACGGAATTGTACCGCACATCTTTAAAATATTGAAATTCTTCAAGCAATAGTAATTAAAAATTATTGTTGTCATTTTTGGTGTTAAAAAGGCCTTCTGTACTAAATTCTGATATATCTACTTCACTATCATCCTTACGTGTTATAGTTTTTGGTTTTACAAATGAATTGTGGTTCATCACAGGTGGAATGCTTTCTGAGTCGTCTAAGATAGAACTTCCCAAACTGGTATTACTGCCGCCCATGCTGGAGGCTCTTAATACAGGCCCCGTAATTATGTCAATACCGCCCACGATTGCAGTGGATGGTGTCTCATTCCGACGAGCTAACTGCGATTCTATCGTTTTCTTCAGTTCTGCTATTTTCGGACTTGCTTTAGTACTGATATGCAGTTTTGTGTCTTCCTTTAGAGGCTCATTTTCAATACTGTAATAAAAATTCCGTCAGTGCATTTAGCAAATTTCGAAAAATAAGCAATTAAAGAAAAAAATATTATAATGGAATACAAACCTAGATATATCCCATTCATCTCCATCGAGATTAATAAGACCAAGCTCATATTTCTCGTTACCATCACTTTTCTCAGTAATACTCTGAGAAGGCGATGCGCTAAGAGATTTCATTTGTATAGCATCCATATCAAACAATACCTTCTTCTTATTCAAAGAAGATGTCGAAGATGCGTTTTTTAAAACACTTTTTGTTTGTTTTATGCCATTTAAGTTATTATCATTGGCTGGTATTTCTTCGCCTGGGATGTGTTCTGATGATGATATCCTACTATCGCTATTTTCCTTTGTCGGACTGCTGTGTAAAATAGCAACATCTGGTTTTACGTTTGTTATACTGCTTACAGATTGAGAGCGCAGTAAGTGATCGCCATTTTGACCGTATTTACGACCTGTAGTGTTATAATCAGAACTTGCTGAAACTGGTCTGCGTGCTGGAGATTTAATTAAATTCTCTATAGATTTTGATATTTGATTTTCTTGAACAATCGCTTTGTAATACTTATGATCGCTTTCCTTAGAGTCTGTATCAGATTGATCGTCATTGGTGATTGTAGAATGTGGTGACGAATCATTCATCTCTTTGTTATGCATGTCGGTTACCATTGTCTTAGGTATTTTTTTGGGTGTGAAATGGTTTATACGTTTTAATTCAGATTTATGATTGTATTCTGATTGAGTCGTTGTGTGACGCTTCTGAGAATCTGGACTCGAGTGTATAGAATCAGGCGGAGTATTCAGTAAAGTCATAGCTCGTTTCGCAACTTCATCGTTTATTGATTTTCTTTTGTCCTTACCATTAACATCATTAGACTTCACCAACGACAAAGCCTTATTTTTCACGTTGGATAAAACTGAAGAAATACTAAAGGATCTCGATGTTTTGTTCGGTGATATATACTCTTGAGATTCTGTTGTTGCCTTCTTTGGCAAATTAGAGTCCAGGTATGTTAAAATTGAATGTCTTATTTTCTCATGGGATGGATTTTTCTAAAAAAGGAATGAACGGACTAAGTGCATTGTATATAATTAAAATGTATTAACTTATAGCAGGGCGTACAAATGGGCTACCCGTTTTTATTTATGATATTAATATGTGGCATACTTTTTTAATATTATAGATCGTTTGAAACGCTCGTTTTAAAGCTAGGTTGTAGCAGTAAAGTAACTATCTAGTAAGGTGTGTAATAGGGTTACGAAGCACCGATTCCCGATTCTCCGGGAACTGGCACGGGGTCTTCTCTGCATCAGTAATCTACGCACTCAGATTATAGACTGTAATCTAAGTCTTCGCAACTGAAATACTCGCAATTGAATGAAAAAGGCAGTGGTGTTTCTTCAGGACCCGTAACATTGTATGAATAGTCCGATATGAGATGAAGCAGCGTAATTTATAAAAAATACCCTGATTTAAACTAACAATAATACTATGAGCAACTTATGATAGAATTACCTTAGCTTTAAGTTCAACATGTTGTTGTAATTTCATGCGTTGTTTTTTATAACTATCCTTTGAGAGACCACTTTTTAAAGGATCTATTCCGGCTGATATAAGACGGCTATTTACTTCTTCTGTAATTTTAGCTCTCAAGACTTTCATGGGACTGGAAAAAAATTACATTGAATGAGAAGCCTATTTTCTTTCTTTTCTTTCTCTCATCTATATTAAAAATGCAATGAGCTTTTCTAAACAGCAAAAGGATTTGTTGCTACAATTATTACCTATAACTAAAGCCCGATTGCTTGATACAAAGTCAAATCAAATACATAGTAAAATGTGACAAATGTTACTATTTCTAACGTATTTTTAATATATTCACATTTAACCTTGTATCAAATCATATTATATGCCTTAGGCCGCGCAACATAGTTTTTATAGGCTCGTAGACGTCTGTCTACGAGCAAGACTACATTTCAACTGTACTCCGATTCTCAAATCGCAGTTTAGGTGCAATGCAAACGACCACTATCCGTCTGCTGTAGGTGTTGTGGGCGTTAGCGTGCAGGTTGTTAATTGGCAAATATCAAAGATTATTGCTGTCGTGACAACTGCACATAAACTGTATGTTCATTACAATTTAGCAGTCGTAAAGCTGTTGGAATGAAGTCCATCTGCTCTATCAATTAAAGCAATTTGATTCACCTCTTAAAAATCTTACAACAATTTAGTGGAGAAACAAAAATAAGAAAAAAATGTTTATTTCAATTGGGTTACCTTCGTGGTGGAACAACTGGACCATTTTTGCCCAATTTTGTAGCGTTCGGAACAGAATTTGAAATTTTTCTTTTTTTAGTCTTTTGTTCTTTGGTTTTGTCTTCTTGGCTGTTTTTAGATTGCATTAATATGTGATTAGATATTTTGTCCTTTTTTCTTATAGTTCTGTTAATCTTGTCTTCTTTTTTTGAATCGTGGCTTCTGTGATCTTGTGATAAATTTTCGTGTTTGTTAAATCCTACTTTCAGTGAATATAAATTCTTTCCCACGCTTGAAATATCAGAGGAAGAACCAGACGATTGTACATTGAGAAGAGCTTGAGCCTTTTGATGAAGTTTTTCAAGGGCCTGGCGGCTAGCTTCTGGTGAAGGATTTCCGAGAGATTTCTTTGCTGGTAGTTTTTGTTTTATAATCTCTTTCGTTTTCTCAACTGATACCTACAAATAGTATTTGTAAATAAAAATAGGTTGTCTATAGCAGTACATATGAAATAAAAAAGAATGAGAAGTTTTTGGCAGTAAAACCTTGCTTTTTTAAAGTAAAAATTAAGGTTGAATTAATGCTGTGGAAATGCGCTCTCTCAATACCTAGCTAATTACTAGACAATAGCCTGACATTCAGTCGATATTATTACTGAGCCATATCTAAACCCAACTAATGTCAAATATGACATCGTGAAATATATAAAAATTGAATCAAAATATTTAAATTAACAGATTTATAAGACCGCATCAATATTGTTTGTTCTCGCCACGGTACCCGAGCATAGTAGTAATTCTGTCTGATACCGAAAATTTTTTGAACGCATAGTAAAATTAATATTATATTACCGGGGGCATTTTATTATCGTTAGCCCTGATTTCGTTTGTCGATCGGTTCATTAAATTATTTTGTAATATTTTTTCCAAGTGCTCAACCCTAGTCCTTTCTGCTTCAGCCTGCGCACGCGACTCTCTTGCTTCTTGTGCTACTTCATTCAGTTTATGGAGTAATAGCTCATATTGTTTCGTAGAACTTTCAGCTCGACTAGCCAATTGTAACATTTGGGCCTCATTCTCTTTACGTCTTTCACTTTCTTCTTCTTCTATTTTCAATCTCTGAAATATTACACAAGCATTTAGTTAATATGAAATAATTTTATCAATGTAGCTTCTATTTCCAAATTTACGTACTGAATTTATTAATTCCTGTTTTAATGCTAATATTTCCGATCCTTGTTTATTTATAGTTATATTAAGTTGTTCTATAATTTTTAATTCATTGTTGCTGCTCTGACTTATTGGAATATCTTTTTCTTTTAAAGCTTGAATTGTTTCCATGATCTGATTTCTTAGTAAATTTATTTCCTTATTATATTTGTCCTGTTCCTCTTTTTTCCATTCTTCAATTCTATCGATTAAGTTAACCTCGTTACTTGTAGATACTTCAGCATCTTTCCTTTGCTTGTTATCCGTTTCTAAACTAGTTTGTTGCGTGATGCTATAATTATTATTGTGATTTAAGGGGACAGTAATCTCTTGTTTATTATTAAAGTTTTTTACAATAGCTTCCATTTCTTTCAATTTGTCTTTTAGCTCGGATACTTCTTCCCTTAATTTATTATTTTCTATACTATGTGCAGTATTTTTTGTATTTTCATCAAAATCTTTTTGTGGAACTTCCATAACTTGAGCGTGTCTTCTTGAAATATGACTTTGAAGATAGAGTTGGTTCATGAATACTTTATCACAATAACTACACTTATTGTATTGGATAGAGGCTCCTGGATTACTGGTATGAAAAATATCACTTTTATTGGTTAAAGTTTTTAAAATCATATTTGCAATATTATCGTTACCATAAGGAAGTGTCGTTCTATATGTGTGTTTTGATTTTCTTTTTATTTTTCTTATTTCTTCATCTTTTTCATTAAGTTCTTTCTTAGTGGCATCAAGTTCCTACAAATTATACATAAATGTCAACATGAAACATCAATTTGACTGAGGCTATTAAACATTTTAATATGCATGTAATAAAAAGTAATAGATCAAGATCTTTTCCTTATTTATAAAATTAAATAAATTAATAATTGATGATATATGTACCCGAGCAAGTGAGTTTATCTCCTCTCGTAACACGTAAACGCTTCTGTCGAGATAATGCCTGCAGAATTGTTGATATTCAACGGTTAACTGTGCCAATCGGAACATCTTAAGAACGCCTTCGTCTAGAATCCGGACGTCAAATTCGGACTCCAAAATACAGTCCAATATCTGATAAAATAATGAAGTATTTAATAACTTAAATCGATTCCCTAGAAACTTTGCAGAATGATAATAATGTTTTTTATGGATTTTATTGCTGATGATGAATAACAAAGTATTTCCACACGAATTCAATAACCAAATTTTTCTATGATATTGTAAATAATTAGATGCAAAATATATAATTTGTAAATAAGTACATACATGTATTTTGGAACATATAAGAAACGTAAATAAAAGCGATTAAATTCTTTCATTGATTTTCTTAAACAAACAAATCAAATCTCACTCCTAGAATGAAATTAACTCACGTCGTTTAAACGTTGTTCAATAAAAACAAACTTTCTTTCCCTTATTAAATTTTCTACATCAATCAATCCTGCAACAAAAATACAAAGTAATAGTCTGCAACAGAAAACGCTATGTAATTTTTAGAACCTATAACCAACTATATTAAATACCCTAGAACTTGATACAACAAAACGGATAAATTCGCGGCCGAAATCTGTACAAACCACCGAATGGAGCAAAATACGTGTAAATGGGTCTTCAAATACAAACACAATGTCGATGGAAGTAATATGCATAAGGCCAGGTTAGTCGCAAAAGGTTTTGCTCAATCTTTTGGACTTGACTACTTTGACACTTTGTCGCCAGTGGTAAGAAGAACAACCTTTAGGTTATTATTAGCTGTGGCAGCACAATTCGATCTAAAAATCGAACACTTTGATGTCAGCACAGCTTTCCTAAATGGTGACCTAGATGGGACAGTTTACATGTCTTTTCCAGAAGGTTGTGATCAAGGGTCATCTGGTAAAGTCTGTTTACTGAAAAAGGCCATATACGGTCTCAAGCAGGCACCCCAAAGATGGAATAAAAAGGCAAATGATGTTCTTATTTCTTTAGGCTATCAAAGGTTGAAAGATGGCAACTGCGTTTATATCAAGAGATTCGTTGATAAAAAATGATAATCCTAGGACTTTACGTGGACGATTTCTTCGTTTTTCATAATTGTGATGAAGAAAAGGTTGATGCAATTTACCAGGATCAAACGGAATACGTAGAAAATTTGCTTTTACGGTTTGGAATGAGTGATTGCAAGGGGGTAAGGACACCAATGGAACAAGACATTCACAAGTATTTTGGTAATGTTCAAGACAATGAATGCATTGATGTACCGTATCAATCACTTATTGGTGCATTAAACTTTCTGTCAACGAACACTCGTCCTGATATAGCTATAGCAGTTAGCATTTTGGGACAGTACAATAATTGCTACAAGGCTGTTCACTGGAAAGCGGCAAAGCGAAATGTTCGTGTTAAAATATTCTAAGTATAAAGGTCTAGAATATCGTAAATCTGCTGAGTTTAATGTATCTGGATTTGTTGATGCAGATTGGGACAGTGACTTAAAAGATAGAAAGTCTTTTAGCGGCTTCTTATTTAAAATTGGTACTTCCGTTGTTTAATGGGAATGTCGTGAGCAAGGTGTGTGTTTCGTTATCGTCAACCGAAGCTATGTATGTCGCCCTATTTCTACCTTTGTCTCGTTTGGTTAGTAATGTTCTTTTGCGAGATGTATATGTAGTTAACGTAGGCACAGATAACCAGAGTGCTATAAAGCTGGCACAGAATCCAATCGCTCACCGTCGGACCAAACACATTTTCTATACGTACGCCACGTACGATAAACTGTTCCGTTCGAACTGTACAGTCTGATCGTAACGATTTCTCGTAGTGTGTATGGCTGGCATTAAAAAATCGTAGGAAACTGTACAGTTTTATAAAATACACGCTACGATTTATCGGTACCGTTATCGAACTGTACAGTCTAATCGTAACGATTTCTCGTAGTGTGTATGGCCACTTTAATGTCTTTCGTTTCCTAGGATACTATCATATATAAACATCTTGTAATAAGTCATCATATATTACAAATATACAATTAAAGTTATTTACAACGCCCTATCCACTATTATTACTAATATGGCGTAGGATAAAACAAATTAATGAAAAATTACTAACCTTAAATAATTTCACGACACACTGTAAAACACCTTCCAATATTGCGTTAAAAAAGATTTTGGAAATATTTTTGACTGCGGTCTATTAGCTCTCAAATATAAAAAAATGTGGGATTAAACAGTTTACGTGTTAATGCCAAAATCTATTTATATATAGGTCAATTAATAATTACTATATATAACCAGAGATGTAACTTATTTTAAAAATGAAACAATGAGGAGTTATTCGTAACAGCTATATTTGCCCCCTAGCTAAAATGGCCCCGGGGACCTTACTTAACTAAATCAGTGTGGCATCGTATATGTTTCGTTATACATTTATTTAATGATGTTGACTCGTTAACGGTAAATTAGTTAGGTAGTTACTTGTGGAGCCTTGACTTTCCTGTAATTTGTTCATTCCTTCTCGTTGAGAGAAGATTGCAGTAGGTAAGCTGTGTAAATAGACAGATACATCGTAGAAGTATTAAAATCAAAGAAAAACTTACTTATTTTATTCCAATCGATACGAATTCTAGGGCGATGGGTGTTAAATGTAAAACCAGCTTCGTCTGCTATTTTCGGAAAATTGTGGTGCAACTCGAAAGATGTTTTGCACGCCATTATGATGTATTTCGATTAACTTGGATAGTTAAAATTTCAATTTAAGAATAACTGGAGAAACTTTATAAGTTCCACAAAAAGCAACAGTTTTCTCTGTTTTGACATTGCATTTGTTTACTATTTGCTGAAACCGTTGCTTAGCAACGCAACACCATCGTTGATCACCGAAGCGAAAGTAGTCTCACGTAATAAATGAACGGCCCCTAGGCAGTATATTTGATAGAAAAAAAGTTGGTAACCCTAGTCCACAGTGATAATGGTTATGTCGCGATGAAACCAAGCTGTCCAACATAAAGGAGGCTAGGCAGCCATTTAAATAATATTCTTTCCATTGATAAATGATTGGTCTCGCCAAAGATTTCAATCTTTGGGTCTCGCTAGGAGTGTAGCGAGACCCAAAGATTGAAATCTTTTATCTATGATTCTTTCATATTATTCCAAAGCACTTAGTTGTTTTTAAGGGCGGGGTATAGGCTTGAGGTAGCTGGGCAAGCATTCGGTGCAGATTGTATAAACTAGACTATTTTATTTATTATTCTAGTGGTAGATCTTAAAGATATCCTTTAGATGATCCTTTAATTTTTGCGGAATATTTACAAATACTTAAATCTCCAATCAACTGCAACTAGTTTTATGATTTACTCACAAAGTATGTTAGACATTGTGATTTCAGTGAGGAGGATATTAAAGTTATAATTATTCAAAAATAAAACGTTGGTGTCGTTTCTGGCGTGATTCTCTAACTAAACCTAAAATTAAATTTGACAACAGTTTATCCTTGTCATTCTCTACACAAAATAAACAGGAGAGATTGATTTTAAATTTAGTTTTAGCTTTAGAGAATCACTCTAGAATCGACACCATTACCCACCCAATGAAGGCATCTATATTAAATAATAATATTGCAATATAAATATCAAACTAAATTTTACCAGAATTCAGCAGCAATTTTGAAGTAACGTGTACTTAATTTTTTCAATAAATATATATAGTAGTACCTACCTACCTACTTAGTTTGCTAAATGAGGAAATAATTAAAAATACATTTTTACGTGGTAATGACCACTTTGCTTGTTAAATTAACTTTATTGTTCCAAGATACAGAGCTTGTTTCATCGTTAAGAAATCTATCGCAGTACCTATAACTAAAGGAGCAGTCTCATGGAAGGGGCGGCCTAGCGACATTGAGATAATCCATCATTTTTTTGTATTTTTTTACATGTCGTCAGCCATTTGAAGCAAATGTAAGATAGGTATAAGAAAAGTGTGCAACGTTCAACTCGAAACACAAAACGTGAACTCAAAGTACGCAGTTATAGTTATTTATTATATAAAAAAAGTTTGTGTTCTGAGTACTTTGCTCAGCACACGCTCTGTGCTCAAGTTCATAACTTTGTACAAATGTAAATGTTTGCGTATAAAAATAAATAACATCGCATTGGCAGAAATCGCATGTCCGATAGTCGTGGTGTCGTGGTCTCGGTGTGGAGTATCTACGCGGCAGGTTTCTCTTCGGATACAGCGGTTGTACCAGAAGCAACCGATCCGCTCTCGTCCGGCGATGCTTGGCACGACAGCGAAGGGAATTTTTTGTAAAGCTCCGCGCGGTACTTCGGGTGACTGTGGCACAAATATTAATTTATATATCACCAGCCTATTAATCCATATATTATTATAAGCCTATTAATATAGAAACATCCGCGAGTGGACCGGTGTCAAGAGCGCCGCGGAATTGTTTCACCTCGCCAGGGACAAAGCGAGGTTTTCAAGGCTGATGTCCAACCTTCAGTAATTGGAGAGGAACATGAAGAAGAAGAAGCCTATTAATGTTTCCACTGCTGGGGCACAGGTCTTCCTTATGGATGAAATAAGGAGATTGGGCCATGACATGACCCATCCCACGGGCCCAGTGCGGATTGGAAGGTACTAACGACTTCAGATGCAGCCGGGACCAATGTCGAAGATGAGAAGGAGAAGGTCGAAATAATAAGTTTTTTTTCACCCATCCAATGATCGATCATTGCGAAAGTTGCTTAAAATCCACGACCGCAGGCCAAATGCACTACAATATCTTCCTACGCCATCGAGTTTCTCTCCAGGTTAATATATGGCTATACGCAAAGAAGTGAGATGCGTTGCGGAAACAGCAGTAATAGTAGTGTAGAAGACGAATGCTACACGATTCTTAGCAGGTAAGTGATAACAAAAATCTTTCACTGACCTGATACCGTATACAATAGGATTGTATACGGCATTAGCTTTCGCGAAGAGTGATCCCCAGATGGTAGCCAGAGGGCTGATAGGTGCACTCTCGAACACTCCGGTGTAGTTGATCACCAGATACGGAGTCCAGGCCATAAACCACAAGGATATCGTCATCAATGCTACCTATATTAACGCAAATAAACATAATGACAACTGGTATGGGTTAAATATATTAGATTAATTTTACTGATTTAAGATCAAAGCTCACCTTAGCTAACTTGCATTCCGCGCTAGTGTTGGCCGCTTCACTAGACCGAAGAGAGGCTACGTTCATTTTCTTGGCTTGTTCTCGCATGCCTTTTTCGTGGGCAGCTACGGCCTACGAAAATAATATTTGTTAATTAAAATTAAGCTAAGTAATTTGTTTTGGTCATTGACTAGTAATTATTTTTATGACATTCATTTACCTGGACAATGAAGAAATAAGAGTAGATAATCAAGAGCAGAGGCATGAAGTACACAAAGACTGAGTAGACAAGGATGTAACTGCGGCTGAACCAATCCTTGCTCAGGTAATCAGTTCCGCAGGCAGTCATGTTACCTTCAGGCACATATCTGTAAAGTTGATTTGAAAATCCAGTAGGTATTGAAGAGTCTAATATACGAGTCTAACTAATGATGCTTGGAATTAACTTATTCAGATTAAGGTACCTGTTCCAGCCAAAGAAAGGTGCGAGAGTCCATGCAAGAGAGAAAAGCCAGATTCCAAGAATGCGTAATAATGCACCATTGTTAGTCATAGGCTTGGCGGCTATACCTTTGACTATAACATTGTAGCGATCGAAAGCAATCATTGTCATTGTCCAGATGGATGCACAGCCAAATAAGGAACCAGCACAAGCGTAGAGTTCGCATGCCAGAGCCCCTGAATAAAAGCAATGTTATATTTGAAAAGATATTTATAACATGAAGCGAAATTAAACTATATCTTTCTGTACGTTTATAAATTATATTTGTTATATACGATATTTACCAAATACCCAGGTCTCATTGTAACAATTTATAACCATAGCCGGTGACATGCAGCACATCATGAAAAAATCCGAGAATGCAAGATTGACAACTAGCAAGTTTGAAGGCGTTTTTAGACTCTGCAATGAGAAGTTGGAATTAAAATTAAATAAGATTATTCAAATAGCTGTAGTATCGATTCCACCAAATCTGCATAAGACAAACCTTGGTGCTTGTGAAAATATAGATAACCATTCCATTGCCAGAGATCGAGATGAAGCCAAGGACGCCGATAGTGAAACCTAGCAGGCCGTGCCACAGAGGATTCATTGGTGGAAACTGATACCTAGAAAAACATATTAATGTAAGTAATATTTAACTTTCAAGCTATGTTTGCTTTCCTCAAAAGATTTAAGATCGCATACCAATATGGATCTACCATATGCAGTAATTCAGGGGGTACTTTGTCAACGACCGTTTGGTTGGAAGCGCCATAGGCTGCTACTTGTCCACCCCAAGCCTGGAGTGCTGCAACACCTGGCCCAGGGTCCAAGCTTGCAAACGCCATGATGACACGTTTTCTGTTGAACGATTAACCTGCCGGATAAATTGCTACATAGAGTTAAATCCAAAACGAGGCCTTTTAAGTAATAATATGTAAAAATAAGACTGAAGAAAAGTTAGTTGAAATTATTCGAGAATTTCATTTTTTATTTGAATTAATATCATTATATATGAAAGTCAATAAGACAACAGCAGTGGGTGATTAAGAGAAAGCAGAAACAAGACAAAGCATTTACGTTAGTCCAAGACTATAGAAAATAAAACAATCTGTAGGAAATTGTACAAAAATATAATATATCACGTACTTACTAAGGCAGAAATAAAGACAGGCACACATATAAATACAAAAAAAACCGAACTCACTTAAAAGGTCCAGGATAAGGGGATGGTCGCCCCGAGATGGTTACTACCAAAAATACTGAAGAAAATCGCTGCACGAACTACTCCAGTCTTAAGTATACTATAACCAATCTCGTGATGTAGTGGGGTTGCCGATGCTGCGGAGGCTACTCGTATTTTCTTGGACGGCATCCGTCTTATATACACCCTAAGGGATTAGCTACAACGTCACTGAGAAAATCGATATTCATAATGAGATATAGGTATCTTAAAGGTGAATACATTATCTACATCACTTCGGCGACTTCACAGGGTTGGCTTTGGCTATCTAGTTCTTAACCATATTCATTATTGAAAATTAAATATTTACAGTTTATGATATTTACAAGTAGTTATTTATCTACTCCTTAGGGTTGATGTTCTCGACTATAACCAAACTCTATATTTTTGGTGATTTATGTACGTACAAAGTTAGAATTCGAACATTGAACGAAAAGTAGTGGTGTATTTAAAAGCGGACGCGAGCTGAGAGGCATTAGAGGAATATGTATGTATTTGGAAATCTATTGCTGTCGCGCATTGGCAAATACCGTAAGATAGGGACAACAGTAGCTAACGCTGAAAATTGCGAATAAAATTGCAAAATTCGAGGTTTGGCTTTCGAGGATTACCACCTCGAAAATAAAATATATTATGTAAAATAATTTTCACTCATAGAATAATAAGTAGTTATACCTCTACGTGTTTCTTTTTTGTAAATGCTTAATGAATCTCCACACTTCGGCGTCTTTAGAAGCCATCAAATATGCCAAAAATAAACATATTTATATCACCACTAGTTTCTTTACAACACAAGTAATCAAAAAAAGGAAGACATAGGAGCATAGAATAAGAAAAAATATATTTTCTGTATGGAAATCATTTCATCAGTGATAAAAAGGAAAGATGCCTGCCTCTTAATGTCTTAGGAGTTTGCGTTTTAGGTTTTTTCCGCTGAAAGCTGTGTACTTCATATACAGAACTTAGTATTTTTACTCTGGCTGTAAACTGTTTCTTCTACCTTTAACAAAGTACATTATCTTCATAAACTAAGTAGGTACCTAACCATTAACCAAACCTATACTATATTGAATTTCCTTTTTGCTTGCTTCAAATTCAATAAAACGTTAATAATTGTCAGTTATTGCAATCACTAGACGTCCGGAAAGCTAGTGGACCTGATTGCATCCCAGCAGTTGTACTCAAAAAATGTGAGAATTGTCTCCCATGCTCACGCGCTTGTACCAAAGCTCGTATTATTTGGGGCGTGTGCCGTAGACTTGGGACAGGTGCCAACATGCAACCGGTGCCTAAAAAAGGAGAAACCTCTTACCCGGCCAACTACCGGCCAATAGCAGTCACCTCAGTATTATGTAAAGCCCAAGAAAAGGTCCTTAACAACAATCTGACCCGCTACCTAGAGGATCACTCTCTGATTAATGATCGTCAGTGTGATTTTAGACCGAAACGATCGATTGGTGATCTTCTAGCGTACTTGACTCATATCTGGGGTGAGGCTATCGACAAGCGCAGCGAGTCGTTGGCTATCAGCCTTGACATTGCCAAAGCATTCGTTAGGGTCTGGCACAAAAGCATTCTCTCCAAACTTTCGGCGTACGGTCTGCCGGCCCAGTTCTGCTCTTGGGTAGCTGACTTCCTGCATGAGCGTAGAATTCATGTCCTTACGGATGGTAGCAGCTCGCGGTTCATGTCAGTTAATGCCGGCGTTCCTCAGGGCTCCGTCCTATCCCCCACTCTCTTTCTGCTGCATATCATTGACTTCATTCCCCTTGTGAATATTCATTAATTCATATGCAGACGATAGTACCGTGCATGCGGGGTATCTCAGACTAGCAGCGGTTGGACAGGTGGTAAACAAGGAGAAACGGGAGAATCTTTTCATTGAACTCAATGAGGCTTTGAACCACATTTCTGAATGGGGTATCATGAATTTGGTTGACTTCAATACTAAGAAAACCAAGGTCTGTAGGTACTTTCACGGCGAAAACGTCGCTATTCCTTCCATAACCTTCTCTTCAGGGCACAACACTGGAGCTGGAGAGCAGTATCACCATGCTCGGTATGGAAATTCGCTGTGTCCTAAATCCAAAGAATTACATCGGTGGTGTGGTAAAAACGGCCTCACGCAAACTCGGAGTGCGGTGTTTTCCGGAGCGGAGCAACTGTGCTCCTTGTATAAGACGCAGGTGCGGTCTTTAGTGGAATATTGCTCGCACCTCTGGGATGGCTCCGCCAAGTACTTGCTCGATGCTTTGGATAAGTTACAGCGGCGCGTGATCCGCATCATAGGCAATGAGAAGGTGACTAAACACCTCGAGCCTTTTCAATCACGCCGTGACGTTACGTCACTAAGCGCGTTCTATCGTCTGTACCACGGGCGAGTGTTCTGAGGAGTTAATCTCTCTTATTCCACCTTCCCCTTTCCTTCAGAGGACCACGCGCGCTGACCAACGTTGTCACTAACTAACTATGGCCACAATTCCATCGGGTACAAATAAATTTGGTGACTCATTTCTTTTTTGCATTATTCGTAAATGGAATGCTCTGCCTGATCACGTGTTCCCTCCTTACAACCTGGGATCCTTTAAAAGAGGCGTGAAGAAGCAACATGCAGGCCGGCAAGGTGAGGGTGGCTGATGTGGCAGGTAGAACTGCTGTACCAGCTATCTTCACGTCTGGACTTCACCGTCACTTAACATCAGGTGGGGTGGGGTCATATGTCGGACCTACCTAAAAAAAATAGTTTATGATATAGTTTAAATAGCTAGTTTATTTTTATTTTAGTAATACAGCCCTGTATTTCTACGTCTTACGCAGTTAATATTGTTACGCGGCTACTAAGAAGTATAAAAGAATATAGGTTAACAAGATTAGGCAGTAGTAGAGAGCTACCAACGTATGGCATCTTATTTATATTAATTACCCATTATTGACAATAACGATAACGTGTTTTAGCGCATCTGCTATTTTGGCGACTGACCTCTATTCCTTTCATAAGAACTCTTCAGAAATTAAAGGCATATCTATCATACACGTACTTATGTAAGTTATTATTTTAAAGAAAGGTTTTTATTATTTTTCAAAGAAGATTGTTTTTTAGTGTTCTTATTGAATTGCTAACAATTTGAAACTTCAATTGTGTCGACGATATACCCAATACTTTCCGAAATAAGGCCTTTCAAAGTGTTAGTTCAGTAAAATACTCAGATTTTGCGTCAATTTCGATAGTTATGATTCTTTGCAAAATTGTATAAGATGTTGTCAATTGGCAATTAGTACAGTCAATCTGTAGGTTGAGTGGTGAAAAAAAAACCTAAAGGGTAAGTCTTGTTTTTTCTGTTGCCAAATGACGTCAGTAAGTCACTTTGGCGATGGGCATGTTCAACTCGTAGGCGTTTTTTGAAAAACTCAAAAAAACCGTCATAAATTTTTTGAAACGCATTTTTCTTGTTTTGTATGCATTTTAGAAACTTTTTTTTCGACCATAATTGTAGAGGGCGTTGAGTGCTACAATTTATGTCATTGTTGCAATCTCGTAGAACAAAAAATGCGCATTGTAGGTGGCGCTAAAGTCTCAAAAAAGTGTTTTTTCACTTTTTCACCCTGAAAATATCATTTTAATGGAAAACTTTAAATGGCTAAGTTGTTTCGTACATAATTACCAACAACTTTTGTATAAACATTTTTTTTGTATTACTTACCGTTTTCAAGTTATAAATTGCGCAGGTATGAAAAATCCAATAGAGCGGTTTTAGGCAGTTCAAGTACACATTTGCAGTGCACATTTCAATGTACGTTTTACTATTTTTTATTTTTTTTCATGATTGAAAAACAAAAAAAAAATTAAAAAAAATAAAAAAATAGTTTTTTTTTAATTTTTTTTTCATGATTGAAAAAAAAAATAGTAAAAACGTATATTGAAATGTGCACTGCAAATATGTACTTGAACTGCCCAAAACCGCTCTATTGGATTTTTCATACCTGCGCAATTTATAACTTGAAAACAGTAACTAATACAAAAAAAAATGGGTGCGTGTACTTATGTAGGCGCGTGAGAAGTTATCCTTCTTTGGCATCGTTTAAAATTAGTTTTTAATTGCATGCAAATAATTAATTACAATTAATTAATAAAAAGTCTGGAAAAGGACACAGTCAATAAAGTTCAGTTTTAATTTGAAAAAATAAATAAATAATCAAAATATTCAATTAAAATCGCTACTGAATATAATTTATTAGAACATATGTGATTTGCACTTGTATGAAACTCAAACACGTATTCCGAATATACAAACTAGAAACATGTGGATAAATATTATAAATATGAATACCTATAACTGTTACTTTATTACAAAAAATAAAGATGTGGTTTTTGGTTCTACTACACCAATGGTCAAGAGATGGCGCTGTAGTCTCCTGAATCGCGCTTTGGTTCCGTTGTTCCAGATTAATAAATACTTTTTGTTACTTTATTACAAAAATAAAGATGTGGTTTTTGGTTCTACTACACCAATGGTCAAGAGATGGCGCTGTAGTTTCCTGAATCGCGCTTTGGTTCCGTTGTTCCAGATTAATTTATTACTTTTGATAGGCCTTCACAATGCAGTCGTTAGCACCCACTAAATAGAGATTCTATTTCTATTTTGTTGGTAGATTTTCTTAATGTGCGGTAAACACAAAAGTAACAGCATGAAGTTGGTCGCTAAAGCGACCAACTTCATGCTGTTAATTTTTTGGGTTACAGTGATGCGCGCGCATCTTAAAATTTCACTCTCATCATTTTTTCATAACGCGCCTAAAGAAGTATAACTTCAAAAATTGTTTATACAAAAGTTGTTGGTAATTTTGTACGAAACAACTTAGCCATTTAAAGTTTTCCATTAAAATTATATTTTCAGGGTGAAAAAGTGAAAAAACACTTTTTTTGAGACTTAAGCGCCACCTACAATGCGCATTTTTTGTTGTAAGAGATTGCAACAATGACATAAATTGTAGCACTCAACGCCCTCTACAATTATGGTCGAAAAAAAAGTTTCTAAAATGCATACAAAACAAGAAAAATGCGTTTCAAAAAATTTTTGACGGTTATTTTGAGTTTTTCATAAAA